CTGGCTTTTTTCTTTTTGCTTATGTGGTGCTGAGGAATCGAACCCAGGGCCTCATGCATGCAAGGCAAGTGCTCTACCACTGAGCCACCTTCCCAGCTCCCCCATGCCCTTTTTCTAGACCAACTCCTTTCTACTTTTCTGTGACACTTTAAGGCCCCTTAGGTCAAGATTAGGGACTGTCATGGCTGTTACTGAGCTCTCACTATACCTTGCCTAATACAACTAGGCAAATTTATTATGTAGATTATCAATTATTTGGTTATTAATTTAAAGGGCGGAGCATGGTGATGTCTATAATATCAGTACTGCAGAGGCTGAGGCAGGGTGATCATGAATTGGAGAGGCTATTGCAAGTTGAAAGCCAGCTTAAGCTACATAGTGAAAGAGTTTAATGTTGGACTGGGAATGTGGCTTAGTGATAGAGTGCCTGCCTACCATGCATGAAGGCCTGGGTCCAACTCCTCAGTACCACATAAACAGAAAAAGCTAGAAATGTCACTGTGGCTCTAGTGGTAGAGTGCTAGCTTTGAGCCAAAGAAGCTCGGGGACAGTGCCCAAGCCCTGAGTTCAGACCCCAGGACTGGCAAAAAAAAAAAAAAGTTTAATGTTAATAGCTTCTGTGATTAATAGTTCATTTTTATCTGCAGGTTGGTTGTGGTGTGGGAAACACAGTCTTTCCAATCTTACAAACTAACAGGTAAGAATGTTGTCAGGTTTATCTATGAGAGAAAAAAAAATTTCCTGTCTAAGACTAGGACTCAAACTTCGTATCTGATGCTGAATGCTCATTGGTAGGCACCCTACCCTCTGAGTCACACCTCCAACCCCAGGGATCTATTTTTCAAAACAACTGTCAAAACTATAATCTAGAGGCATTGATTATATTATGAAGGATTTCTATAATCTGCATGATCCAGTGTAGTTTAATTTGTTATCATGGAAATTAATGAAACTTAAAATCTGCCACAATGTTCCTCTGAGGTGCTTAAAACATGTTTGTGTGCTGTTTCTCCTCTCTCCTGAGCTCTTTTAGAACAGTCAGTAACTAAGCTGTCATTGTCCCCATGGTAGAGGACAGCTGTGACCTACATGAAAATGTGTCCAATTCTGATGACAGCACACTGCTTCTGTAAATCACACACAGCTCCCTGCTGATTCCAACTATTGGGGAGATTTCCCCACGTTGACCAATTCTCTAGCCCTAGCTTGGTGTTGGGTAAATATAGTTATGAGATTTTCTACCTGGTTTGAACATCCAGTCATACATGCTAAGGGCTCAGTCCTACTTAAGAGGCTAATTGGCCTGGCGCCGGTGGCTCACGCCTATAATCCTAGCTACTCTGGAGGCTTAGATCTGAGGATCACCAATCAAAGTCAGCCCAGGCAAGGAAAGTCCCTGAGACTCTTATCTCCAATAAACCACTAGAAAACCGGAAGTGGCGCTGTGGCTTAAGCGGTAGATACTGAATAGCTGAGGGACAGCGCCCAAGCCCAGAGTTCAGGCCCTACAACCGACCAAAAAAAAAAAGAGCCTAATTGCAAATAGAGGCCTCCCAGACTTCTATCTATGAGGGGTCACATACCCTTCCTTGGGTTGTATAATTCCCTAGAGTACTCAGAAGTAACTTACTTATAAAGATCTGTAAGGTACAGATTAAGAGATAACAGAAGTAGGATATGAACATTCCTGAGCCAGCCATCAGTGCCCAGCTTGTTCTACTTTTAGTGCTATATTCTTTATATTCCACTTCAACTGACCCTCAAGAATTATAACCATTAATCATCACAACCAGTGGGTTTAAAAAAAAAAGAATGGAGATATCTTTTTCAGGATCTGATTGTGCCAATTCTTTTGCAGTGCTGGGGGTGGAATCTGGGGCCTCAAGCTTACTTGCCTAGTGCTTTACCACTGAGCTTTACCTACAGCCTACTTGTACCATTTAAATGACATTCCTGCTGTTGAGCCAGTAGCTACTCAGGATGCTGAGACTTGAGGGTCACAGATAGAAGCCAACCCAAGCAGGAAAGTGTGAAACTCTTAATCTCCAATTAATCACCAAAAAACCAGAAGTGGAGCTGTTCAAGTGGTAGAACACAAAAGCTCAGGGACAGTGTCTGGGCTCCATGTTCAAGTTCCAGGACCAATACTAAATACTAGAACCCACTGCATCAATGTAAGCCATTGTTCCAGGTTTTCCTCTGCCTATGAATCAGACTTAAATTATTTTTTATTTTTTATTTATACTGTACAAAGGGGTTACAATTACATGGGCAAGACAATGAGTACATTTCTTATCAAGCATTGTAGCCTCCTCCTTTGTTTCCCCTTTCCATCCCTTCCCATCCTCCCCCCATCCCCCCACCCAATCCTCCCCGCTTCCTCTCCTCCCCCCCATCAAAGTTGTAAAGTTTGTTTTTGACATAATGACTTGTACATCTCATTGTTGCAATGGGTCCACCTATATCCCTATTTAAACGATTTGTTTTTCCCCTTCCCCTCCACAAATTATACCTACATCAAATACAGTGAAAGCAGGGGTTATACTGTGGGGGAGGGACATACAAAGCAACAAAGAAATGATCTTATAAATGTGTTAGAAACAATAGCATGAAAGAAAAAAAAAATTGAGTACATATCTTAGGGTTCATTTCCCTAACATCACCTTATCTGACCTTTTCTGCTTGAAGACTTAAATTATTTAACATAGTTTTTGAACTCTTATACAAGAGTATGTTCTGCTGAGTGAGGTAGCTTAAGCCTATTATCCTACTGGGACAGCTAACATAGGTGAACCATGCTTGCCTAGGTGTATTCCTGGACAGGAAGCAAGGCCCTACCTCAAAAATAGGCAAAGTCAGACTAGATGCAAAGTAAATTCTAGAGTTGTTTTGTGTTTTGATGTCTTTAGAATACATACATATTTCTTAATTGCAATTTTGATAGTTATTAAGTGTATTTTTGTATTAATACCTCATGATAAGACATATGCTAGACATTAGGAATTTCAGTAATAAGCACAGGGATTTTTATCTTATTCCTCTTTGTCTCTCAACATCTAGGATAATAGCCAACACATTGTGAACCCTCAATGAGTAGCAAATGTGATTGATCCCTGCTTTGGTACTCCTTTCCATGTGGTAGGAGCAGGTAGACAGGCACATTGTGTTCCTAGCATGGAGCCAAATGCCAAGGTAATTCAGAGAAGGTATGGGAATGCTATATTATCAAGATTTTTAAGAGCTAAGGGTGCAGCTCAATGGTAGAATGGTAGAGTACTAGCTGCACACAGGGCCCTGGCTTTCAAACTAGTACTGCAAGGAAAAAAAAAAAAAACATGTTGCTACTAGTAACAGTTTTTGTTTTTTTTTTTGGTCAGTCCTGGGGTCTGCACTATGGGCCTGGGGGCTGTCCCTCTGCTCTTCAGTTCAAGGCTAGCACTGTGTCACTTGAGCCACAGCACCACTTCCAGCTTCTTCTGCTTAGGAATCGAACCCATGCCTCATGCATGCAAGGCAAGCACTCTACCACTGAGCTACCTTCCCCGCCCCAAGTAACAGTTCTTTGAAACCATTTTCAACTCTGCCACGATAAACATAGTTTACTATGTAGCCTAATTGTTGTGTTTTTTTTGCTTATTTCAGTGACCCAGGACTCTTTGTTTACTGTTGTGATTTTTCATCAACAGCTATAGAACTGGTCCAGGTAAGTGCAATCGCCCCTATATAAAGAATTGTTACTAATTGGGGGTGGGGAGGAGAAATTAAAAATCAAGGGTACTAACTCTATTTTTATATTGTATCCTAAAAGTAAAAGATTCCCTGAAACAGCCTGGAGCTGGAATAAAGAGCCAGACATGAATGTTGAATCTCCTACTTACCAACTGTAGAACGCAGGGCAGAGTTCTTGACCTCTCCAATCTTATGTTCTAAGGATTGAAATTAGATTTCTTCAGTAAGTGTTCTTTGAATTATAAAAAACAAAAAAACTGGATGTGTAGAAGCCCAAACGATAAAGAATTATGTTGCAGAACCTAAGTATACAAAGAGTAGCCCAGGCAGCAGGAAAAGTAGAACTCAGGCCTGAAAAATGTCACCACACTATGACAAGCAGTTGCTCCAAGCTGTCTTTTTTTTTTTTTTTTTTTGTCAATACAGGGCTTTAACTCAGGGCTTTCTACTTCATTGGCTGAAACACTACTACTTAGGCCATGCCTAAGCACTGCTTTTTGATGATTGTTTTAGACATAGCATCTCATGGACTTGTGCTAGTACTAGGGCTTGAACTCAGGTCTTGATGATATTCCTTAGTTTTTTCCTTCAAGGCTGATATTCCACCACATGAGCACAGCTCCACTTTCAGCTTTTGTGTGGTTAATTAGGGATAAGAGTCTCATAGACTTTCCTGCCTGGGCTAGTTTCAAACTGATGGTCCAGATCTCAGTCTTCTGAATAGCTGGGATTGCAGCCCTGCAGCCACCAGCACCCAGCTCTTCAAGTTTCTTGAAACCAGCTTTCTATTAGAGGTGTTCCAAGTTTTGCACTTGTACCCAGCATGCTTCTCTCTCAATTCCAGAATCCCCAGAGTTCCTTAACTCTATCCAGCTGATAAACTTGCTTGCCCTATCTACTGCATGAAGTCTAATAAGAAACAAAGTCACAATTTTGGAGGAAAAAAGTGGGGTAGGGAATATGCCCTAGGGTATATCTATCTGTTGCCTTTATTCAAGATGCTGTTTGCACAGGAGCTTAGGAATTGCTATAGTTTGTCTTTCTGCTTATGGGTTTTTTTCCTTGTTCATCACTTGCTTTCTTGATCATTCTTCAACCCTCGGGTCTGAGAAAAGTAGAACATGTGTCAAAATAAAGAATGTAAGTAAAGCTGGGCTTGGTGGTACATGCCTATAATCTCAACACTTGGGAGGCTGAGCAGGATTATGAGTTTTAAGGGACAACCTAGACTGATGAGCCCCATCTCAAAGAGAGGAAGATGAAGAGGATCTGGGCATGTTTGTTTTCATGCTAGTTTGTTTTGCTTCCTTGCTAGTAATTGTAATTCAAGTCAAGGCCTAGTACATTCCTAACCCTTGATTTTTTTGTATAACAGTCTCTCGCTGTGTAATTTAGGCTGGCCTTGAATTTAAAATCTTGCTGCCTGTCTCTTACATACAGGGATTACAGGCAATAATATTTCTTTTTTTTAGCACCAGTTAGATTCCACAAGATCTTCCCTGGGTTATTTTGGCTCTTACCCTGTGAGTCCCCCTGGAAAACTTCATGATGCCAAGGTGTTATGGCTCACTCCTGCAACCCACCTACTCAAAAGGCAGAGATCAGGAGGATCTTGATTTAAGACCAGCCCAGGCAAAACATAGCCAGACCTTCATTTCAACAGATCAATCAGTTGTAGTGGTATACATTTATAACCCCAGCTACAAGGGAGGCATATTTAGAAGTGTTGTGGTACCCTACCTTAAAATAAAAGGAAAACCTTGTACTGTAATGACTAAAAGTACATTCCTCTGCTGGGGGTGGCAGCTGTGACATTTAAAGGAAGATAAGCTTTTCTCCAACTCTGTTCACATGGTCTGACCCTTTGTGTCTCCACCTGTCTGCAGACAAATTCAGAATATGACCCTTCCCGCTGTTTTGCCTTTGTTCACGATCTGTGTGATGAAGATCAGCACTACCCAATGCCTAAAGAAAGTCTTGATGTCATCGTTCTGATATTTGTTCTTTCAGCAATTGTTCCAGACAAGTAAGTTTTAGGTCCCTTAGCCCAGGACCTAACAAAGATAAAGCTTTTGCCAAAGACCATGAATTAGTGTTGTAACCTAAATAAAAAGGACTTTTGTTATGTTCTAATGGACAGAAAGACACCATATATCCATAGTCCTAGTGTGTCCACCTTTTCTTTCAGCCTCTACTGTTTACTGCTGGCTCTGGGCTCTATTCTTCCTTTCACTATCAGGAGTGTGTGGGAAAATTGCCTACTGGTAATCTCAGCTGTGAGTGCCACAGCTGTTAGAGAACATCATGATTAGCCCTTTAAATGCTTAAAGTTATTTATTTATTTATTTGTCGGTCATGGAGCTTGAACTCTGGGCCCGGGCATTGTCCCTCAGCTCTCCAGCTCAAGGCTAGTGCTTTACCACTTGAGCCACAACTCCATTTCTGGTTTTCTGTGGTTTATTGGTGATAAGAGTCTGACAGAGTTTCCTGCGCGGGCTGGCTTTGAACCTCAATGCTCAGATCTCAGCCTCCTGAGTAGCTAGGATTACAGGCGTGAGCCACCAGCGCCCGGCTTGCTTAAAGTTATTAACTGCACAAATTTTACCTTGAAACTCAACAAGTATCCTCTGATGCTTAATATTTTTGTATAACAAATACAGAATTCCATAAAATCATGTTTACATAAAAAAAAGAAGTCAAATACTGTACCTTCAACTGAGTGCCAGTGGCTCATGCCTGTAATCTTAACTATTCAAAAGGCTGATATCTGAGGATTACAGTTTGGTATCCACTTTTCTTTCAATAGCACTGAAGTGGTCTGACCTGATAGGGAGAGTGTGTGATTTTGAAATTATGTTGAGGGTTTGGAGCATGTATACTTAAGTTATGAATATTTAATCCTGTGCCAAGGCATCACCCCTGTATCACTATAACAAGTACCTGAGATAATTAGCTGATAAAGAGAAAAGCTTTATTTGGCTCATTTTAGAGATTCTATTTCATGGTTGGCTTTTAAGCATTTAGCAAGACAGCAGGAAGAGCACATTTACTAGAGGGTGAAAGGAAGAAGGGAACAGGGTCCCTGGTCATCCCCAGACACATCCGTAAAGAATTCCCATTAGAAGGAGTAATAATGCTCAATAGGAAATGTACTCATTACCTTACTCATGTAACTGTAACCCCTCTGTACAGTAACTTTACAATAAAAAATATATATATTAAAAAAGAGAATTTCTATTAGGTACCACCTCATAAAAGTTTCTACCATGGGGTCTGGGAAGGTGGCTCAGTGGTAAAGTGCTTGCCTTGCATGCATGAGACCTTGGGTTCAATTCCTCAGCACCACATAAGCAGAAGTGGTGCTGTGGCTCCAGTGGTAGAGCGCAAGCCTTGAGCCGAAGAGCTGAGGGGTCAGCGCCTGGTCCAGAGTTCAGGCCCCACAACCGACAAAAAAAAAAAAAGTTTCTACCATGGGCGGGTGAGGCATTTGGGTGGAAGAGGTACTTTAATCAAGATATTCTGATGGGGCTGGGAAGGTGGCTCAGTGGTAGAGCGATTGCCTTGCATGCATGAGGCCCTGGATTTGATTCCTCAGCACCACATAAGCAGAAAAAAAACACTGGAAGTGGTGCTGTGGCTCAAGTGGTAGAGCGCTAGC